AAAAAAACCTAAAGCAGCTTTTAATTGTTTCTCAGCCGTAAAATTGTTTGGTAAATATTTTAAAAATTTCTGATATCATCAACGCATTATAACATTTAGGAGATTTGGCTCTTAGTGAATATTTGTCTTCCGAGCCCTGATATTCTCAAAAATTTTACAAATTTAGTGTTATAATGCATTATGCTGAAATACAGAATTTTAAAAAAAATGGGTTAATTATTTTTTTATAAATGTACGCACACAAATATATTAATTCGAACTAGACTAAAAGTTCAATTGCTGGCAACTATAACTTTCTCGAAAAGCTAAGTGTGAATAATCGTATTGTCAAACGATACTTGTACATACTATATATAAAATTTCAAGTTAATCTTTTAATTAAATTTTTAAGTTAGTAAAAGTTTAGTTCCTTGAACCGAACATAATTCCTAAATTTGATTAATCCTAAGTCAGAAAAATATTTTCATCAAAATCGGTTCAACCAAAATTGACAAAATTGACATACATGAATGCGCACAATGGTAGGCACAAAGACTAACATCTCGTCAAAAATATTTTTTTACGTTTTCTCCAAAATTTATACCCAATGAAATTAAATAAAGTCAAGTATATTTTTCCACTTATTTTATTGTTTTTCACACATAAAGGAGTCATGGTTTGTAAGAAAAAAAAAGTAAATATTTTTCATAATAAGTATTTATAGATCTTACCAAAACATGAAGAGGGGGAGCGGAGTGGGCGGTATATCATAAATTAGTTGTTTACTGTATGGGTAAACAAAAATATTAAATATTAGTTTTTATGGTAAATTAACTTTTATTATCATTATAATTTGCATTAAAATTGACTTGATAAATTGATTTCGAAATGACATCCTCTTTTTGTTATTTTCATACACAATTTTTTTCTTTGTAGTTTTCAATTCTTGTCTTCTTCTTTAAGGGCTCTCTGAATATTTAAAATGGAAGCATAAATCTAAAAACAATCATTTTTCCATTTATAGATGAAATTTTTTTCTCTTCCTTCTCATACTATATTCATTATTTTTTCTTAAAGGGATGCTATGTAGCTTTAGTTTTATTTCATATCAAACCATCCAATGAATCCTTCTTTCGTTTCCATTCAAATTTTGATTCTATTTCCTTGTGGTATTTTCTGTTTTTCTATATTTTATTTCGATTATTACTTTTCATGTTTATCATTTTCTATTTCATCATAATTTTAATAATATTTTAGTATCTTTGCCTATATTATATTATGACACTGATATGAATATTTTTTATGGTTATAAATTACACTTAAATTCAAAATAAATAATATTTACCGAAAATAAAAACATAAAATCACTATCAAAATATTAGTAATCCTTGAATAGATAAAAAACAAAAAACAATGAACAACTCACTTTGCTTAATAGGTTTATGTCATCATAAAACATAAGTTATCACAGATTACTTTCCTTTTCTACTTCATATATGCATAAGATTAATTTATTACTCGTACAAATTACAAAGGAAATAATAAATAATATGATGGTTCTTATTATGTAACAAGAAATTTTAAATACAAACATTATTTTATAGAAGAATGGTTTCAGGAAATTTTTGAAAAAACACGCCACTTTTCGAAAAAATTTTAAAACACAAAGTTTAGTCTCCAGTATTACTTATAGTTCTTTTTGTACGTAATCAAACCCTGAATCAAATAATTTTCAAGTAATAAAAATATTTGAGGAAAATGAATTTGTAAAAAGAGGGAGTCGTTAAACAAAATTCGATGTATTCACTACGTATAAGCTTTCTTCGAAAAATTTCGCATAAGCTTGATTGAGTAATTTAAAACAGCTGTCATTCATATCCACTATTACTAAATTTTTACTCTTTTAAACTGATTTTATGCAAAAGGATTACATCTTATAAGACTGTAATCTTGATTTCATTCTCTTAAGTTCACTTAATAAAATTTGTATAATATTGAAGAAAAAGGGATAGTATTTTTAACCACATATTTTTAAAATTAACAAATAATAATTCGAAAATTGGGTTCAAATACCCTTAGGCCTAGACATAAATTTTCAAAATTTATTTACATCAAAACACCCTAAACTATTAGGAAGTCAATTTTAACTTTGATCCTTTATTTTTCATCCCAAAATAGTTAATATACAATAAGGTTCATGTTCTTTGTTCTATCTTTAGTTTGAAAAGGAAATAGGTTATTATATTCAGGATATTTAAAGTTGTTTTACATATTTATACAATATATTAGAACAAATTCCCCGTATCTTATATGTTATAATAATTTATTGCTTTACGCTTATATACACACCTATAAGCATAAATTTTATACAAGAATAACTCAATATTGTTGGACACATAAAATTATTAAAGAATGTAATACACAGTATTAGAATTGTATGGATTTCGTCTTAACCAATTCAGGTGAAATTCTCTGATGTATTATTCTGTAGAAGTCACCAAATTAGATAAAGGGCTTCAAATATACCATCATCATTTTTGCTTAAATTCAATAATTACAATATTTTAAATAAATAAATTTTTAATAAAATATTTTCAAATTATAGATTTATAAAGCAAAATTTTCAATAAATTTCGTTGACATGGATAGTTAATCCTGATTAGAAATATCAAACCAAATAACAGTTAATAACAACTGAATACTAAAATCACAAAAAACAAAAATCTTTTCTTCGCTATATTATTTTTCAACGTCTGATATGAAAGCTACGAGTATGTATATAAAAAGGAAATAAATTTAATATTTTGTGAAATGAGGTGAAAATTTTCCTGATGGTTCCTAAGAATTTGTTGTCACGGTAAAAAGAAAGCATTTGTTATTTTTTTGAACCTAATCCTTTTCCATTTTATACAAGATAATTGATATAAACAAAATTTAATTTATTAATTAATTTAGATACTTGATTTTGCTTGACTTTTCAAAAGCAAGTCTAATTCTTTTATTTTGAAATTTGCCAAAAGTTTGACTATATAGAAAATATAAAGACTACCTATGGGAGTATTGGCAGTGTTGAATTTTGCAATTACTTCTAACACTTAGAAATACTGTAAGCTCTTGAAAGAAAACAAAACACTTAAGGAAAATTATATTTCTATATTTAAAAGAGAAAAATAAATAATTTTCAATTTTTTATCGTATTTCAAAAATTCCTTATAAAAATTTCCTCATCCAATTTAAAATTTGAATAATTTTCTATGTTAATGAAGTTCATTAGCAATCAATTTGATTTTATAAGATGAACAATATTTTTATTTTCAATTTTTTAATCTTTTGAAATTGTTTTCATTTTATACAATTTTAACTAGAGAGCTATTATATACAAATTAGCTTGTTTTTCCCCTAAAAATTATCATTACGTCACTTTTAATATTGTTAATTGGTTATTTAAAACATCATCAAATTTTGAATTACTATACTTAGAATTCTTTATTCATGCACATCATGTTGCTAAATATAATCGAATTAATTATTTTGAATAATCAAATTACAAAAAAAAAAAAAAAATTATCTTCCCTTGAATTATTTGATAAATAAAAATTAAAAAATTTTTATTAAGTTCTAAAATTACAAAAAGAGCGAACAATTCAAGGATAAAATTCTGTTTTCTATTTTTTTTTTGTTCTTGTGAAAAATGAGGAAAACAAAATGCTTAATAAATTTCTAAGAAATATCAAAAAATAAACCTGTTTAAATAGATGTATATATATATTTGCAAGTAGAATCTATGTAGCTACCATAGTAGAAGGAAGCAAATTTTCAATAATTGTAAAGAATAAAGTTTATTAAAAATTCCAGTTAATTTTATAATTTTCCTCATATTTCGATACTTCAAATGTAATATTTTAATTTACAAAAAAAAAGAGCGTTTTTAAAGATAATTTAAATTTGTTTTTCAAAATAATTATTTTTTTAAGAAAATTCGGCATAAGTTATTTTGTTAGTTTTTTTTTGCATAATGTTTATATTTAGAAAGTTCGTAGCCCTGTTAAATTTAAAAAATATTGAGTTTTTTATGTTTCAAATGAAAAAAGATGAATTTTAAATGTTTAACTTAAACAATATTGGGTTATTTACGTATTACATGAAAATTTTAAATGTTTTACACGCTAAGTAATCAATATCGGGTTTTTTACGTTTTTATGTAAACAATACCGAGTTTTTTACGTTTTTACGTAAACAATATTAAGTTATTTACGGTTTCTATAAATATGTTTGATTTGTTAAATTTTAAATGAAAAATATTGAATTCTTTAATAATATCAGGTTATTTACGTTTTTATATAAAAACATAGAGTTTCTCAAATTTTAAATCAAAAATATTGAGCATTTGATTAAAAAAAAAAATTGGGTTATTTACATTTTTATGTAAACAATTTCGAATTATTTACGTTTTTATGTAAACAATATCGATTCTTCAACGATTTAAGTATACAATAACAGGTTAGATATGAAAACATTGAGGTTTTTATCTTTTAAAAGAAAAATGATGAATTTTGAATGTTTTAGGTAAACAATACCGAGTTGTTTACGTTTTTACGTAAACAATATTAAGCTATTTACGTTTTTTATAAATATATTTGATTTGTTAAATTTTAAATAAAAAATACTGAATCCTTTACATTTAACTTAATTAATATCAGGTTATTTACGTTTTTATATAAAAACAATGAGTTTTTTCCGTTTCATTAAAATGGGACCTTAAAATACACTAGTGATTTCATATATCAAGTCTATTCTAATTTTAAAACATTCCAAAGCAATCAGCAAATGATTCTGTTCAACTAAATTGTGTAAAATTTAAACTTAATTAAATAACTTAACAAGAATAATTAATTGAAAGATTAATTGTAGTTACTCTAAATTCGAACTTACTCCAAAATTTACTTTATTGTATAATTTATCAAATTTTCTTCAAATAAACAAAATCTCTTTACTAATTTCATATAAATTTCTATTTACAGGTACGCGATGAATTAGAAATAAAAGGCGTTTTACCTATAGATCAATCAATTCCACCGCAAGATATTCTAGGAAGATCATATTGTCGTTATGCTGGACCAAGAACGTAGTCTTTAATTAAATTCATACAAAAACAAACAAATTTTTTTTAATCATATGAATATCAAAAATAAAAACAAGAATACAAAAAACGATATAAATTTAAAAATTAAATAAAATAAAATTTATGTAGATTATTATATAAAAACAAAAAAAATATAAATAACTTAATTATAATAATTAAATTTGAGATAAGAAATTTGTAAGTTAAAACCAAAAACTAATTTAATTATTACAAAGAAAAAGACACAAAACTAAACTAAAATTTAAAATAAAAATTATTGTATAAATTTAATTCTGTAAATATTAAAAATATTGTAATTAATTTAAATAAAAAATAAAAAATTTAAAATATTAAAATATAAAATAATTAAAATAAATTTAATATTAAGAATGAAAAAAAAAATTTACTCGCGAATAATGCATTTTCATATTAAATGAAATTTAAAAAGCATTACAAAGACTATAAAGCTAAAATTAAAATTAATTTAATGTTAGTAAAATAAAAGGACAAAAGTAAAATAATGCAAAACAAAAAAAAAAAACAAGAATTCATATTAAAATCAAAACTAAAAATTAAAATAAAAAATATCGAAAATAAATAAAAAAAAAACAAATTCGAAAATAAATATTTAAAAAAAATAAATAGAAATTAAAATGAAAACAAAAAAAAACAAAAATTTCAATATTATCACATGTGATCACTTAAAAATTACCTATAAAATTTAATACAACTAAATGTTCTATTATTGTTGTAGAGGAAAAATAAAATGAGAAAGAAGAAAAAAAAAAAAATTGAATAAATGAGACCAAAGATTTAAAATTCCAAAAATTAAGTTTGTTTTCAGTTCACATAATTGTAATTTCAGCCGACTTAACCAAGCAGAACTGTGATAAAAGACACAACCACAAAAATAACAAGTGAAAAGAAAAACAGTTCAGAGTGATACCCGTATGACAACGTGATACCCGCATAAATATTTCAAGAGTTAAAGATAAATACCAAAAGATATTAATTTTCGACTATTTTTCTATAGAAAACTGGCCCTGAATTGTTTAGCTCTTACATGTAGTGAAACTTAAATTTTATACCTTAAGAATTTGAAACTATATATAGGTAAATTTTGTCACAATAATAACCTCAATTATTATAAAACGTATTATAAAAATATGAATTTACCTTATACCTATTTCAAGAGCAAATTTGAAAGCATTAAGTACTTGAGACACAATTGAGTATTTTATAGCTATAGCAAAGAATGGCGAATTCAGCAACTACATGTACATACTCGTATATCCTCCGAACACTCATTTTACAGGTACCTATATTGTATTTCAGACAGAACGTTTTTAAATAGTAAAACAATTTTTGAAAATAAATAGATAATAATGAAGGTGGCTAAAATATCGTACCGTAAGTGTCGACATGTCAGCCCTGCTGAAATTATAAATGTCATATTATTTTATTAGATTCAGTTCTCTTAATTGTCAAACATAGTACCATGATCAATACTGTTGTGCCTATATTAAGAATTTTATTCTAGAAAATCTAAAACATGAAAAAAACATGATTTTGTATTAGAGAGTACATACAGTACAGCCTCACTATATTCAACAACAATTTTTTCTATTCAATTTAATTTACCCCAACATTACTGCAAAATACGCTTCTTCTTTACCACATTTAAATTAAATTAAGATTCATTTCTCGCGTTACCTTAATATTCTTATATAACAAAATATAATTGTATATTATGCGTATAAAATGGACATTATTTTCGTATGAAAATAAATGTCAAACTTTACATGTTAAATTTACAAAATAAATAATAAAATTTTTCTTATTTGTTTTTTTTTCATCCATTCTTTTTTCAAAAAAAATCTAACAGTGCATATAATTACATACCCTCTATACGTACATATAACCGTAATATTATTAAAATTTTAGTTTCAAATACAAAGTGCATCAGTGCTTGACAGGGTATTTTCAACAAAATAATAAAAATAATTCAAATATACGTGTATTTCTGTAGGTATGCTTATACTGTATATATATGCATATGTAGATAGGTATATGAAAATTTATTTTTTTATTTAACGAATATTAAACAAAATGTCAGTTTTACGCTATAGTAGTATTTTTCTTACCTTGTTTTTTAACCAATTTTCCACAATAAAAAAAACGTAGAAAAAAAAAGAAAATGTTAACATTTTTGCGACATATAACATTAAACCAGAATGAAACGGTAAAGAGATAGAAAATAAAATTTATATAAAAACCAGAAACACCTGTCAAACTATTTTGAAAAGACACAAACACACACTAACAATAAGAACCAGAACAGAAAGAGAAGAAATCGTTTTATTCAAGTTTTTTTATTTTATTTTACAAATTTTGTTTTTGTTTACCGTTTTCTTGTTTTTTATTTGTGTCAAAGTTTCCCTCTTTTATTACTTCCAGCAACAAACCAAAAACAAAAAATGAAAAGGATGCTGGGAACTTTGTCTAAGTTTTAAAATTTTTTATAGATTGAAAAATTTTTCATGTTGCAAGTTTTCTGTTTACCTTACACTTACTACATGCATACGATAAAAGTTTTTGTAATCGAATATAAATTTTATGATGTCTTTAACTTGAAAAAATAAAAAGAAGGAAGAAGAATTTTTAGTGCAATTTCTTTTTTTATGATAACGGAAATAGAAATGGTGGAAATGATAGTAAATCATTAAAATGTTTGTGTACATATTTGCGTTTCTTTATTTTTTTTTTTTAAATTTTTTAGTATAAGATGAAGAGTGATAAATTCAGATTATATTTTGGAAAATTTGAAATGATTATGTACATATATAGAAGTCAATTGATTTCTGTTAAGCGGCTCTTTTTAGCGACAATAATAACAATTCCAAAAACTAGATTATCTTACAAAAAGCGGCAGAATGTAGTTTTAATAGTAATTAAAACCATAATTAAAATATTGTAAATTTTTGTACTCAAAGGCCTTGTATTTTGTATACGTTAAATTAATGCTATTACTAGCTCTTTCATTTACTTGTATTCTACTTTATTACTAAATTATCTTCATTTCAAATACACAAAGCTATATGCAATATCTGAATCAAAAATATTATAAAAAGATTTACACCAAGATCAGTTCATATTTGATAGCTGCTTTACTCACATCGATTAATAAGATCGTTTGAGTTATACTCGTACAATTTATTTTTAAAAGAAAAAAATTTTTGAAAATTTCTAATTCTAATATTGAATACCTACATATTTTTTAATAATTTAATTATTTAATGTACTTGTAATTATGTAACTATGTAAATTCAAAAATATTCAGAAAATTATTATTGCAGAAATTTGTACAATATCAATTTTTACATATTATTCAAAAGATACATACACACATACATAATACGCATTATTTTACATTTTACTACCGTTACATGTAACAGGAAATTCATATCGCATAATGTTTTCAAAATGAAAAATTTTCAATGTTCTTATATAATGTTATTTTCAATTCATTTCTACAATATGCATAGCGCACACCTATGTACAATAAAATGTGGAAAAAATAAAATAACCTCTAGGTTTAATAAATGTTTACATAACAATTGAAGTGTTCTACATATAGACATAGATGTATGTTAAAGATACACAAAAATAGTATGGATTTTATAATGTAAGTATATAAATTCGTATACATATATAATGCACATACACATATCTGAATTTATATGAATTGATTTCATTTTCAGTCGTCCCCCCCCCCCTCCCCTTCCTATAAAATTATTATTTGTTATATTTTTTTCTTCTTCTTCTTTTCCTTTTATATTGCTTTTTTCCTGTTTTCCTTTTCTTTTTGTTTGTATATTTTAAGTTCATTCATTGTCATCACATTTACATTGTATTCAAAAGGATTAAAATAGACTTTGGTTTGATATTTTTAAATGCATAAATTTCAAAATATATAAAAAAAAAAAATAAAACGAGAAAAGCTGAAAAGAAAATCTTTCAACCATTTTCAACCGAAATGACGACGACAATGACAATAATAAAAAAAAAAAGAAAAAAAAACAAAAATAAACGAGGTATACAGGAAAAAGGAAAACTAAATTAAATTGGTATGTATCTGAGCGTCATTTTTATAAAATAAAAGTGAGTATGTATGTACAATTTTGTATAATATAAGGTGCATATTATAAACATTATATACTATAAGTATACGATATGAATATAGGTATGGGGCATTACTTATTCAAGAGGGCCATTATCATAAAATGAAAGAACATGTTAAGAATGTTTTATTAAATTCTTATATTGCACATTGTATATAAAATTTTAATATTATGCTTCCCATACAGGGTTTTTCAATACTTCTACAAAGGATAAACATTACTTTTATACAAAAAACAAGAAAATATAAAGGAAACAACTCTTGCGGAGACATCATCGCGGACCCGATTTATATCAATCGCAAACAATCTCGCAGTTAACTTTAATAACCGCAATGGAAGAAACACCTTTTGATATCTTAGAACACATAAATGGTACTTTACGACCTTTATACTATCTTTTTGTGTTGACTCTCAGACAGATTTCTATTGCATGTTCGGTCTCAAATACCGAGCATTAAGAGACAAGGCTCACATATATGCGCGTTTTCGGACGGATACCATATACGCTCGATTCCATATAATCTATGGGGAAAAAAAGCCTTGTACCTGCAATCAAAATTGTACCGTGGTAGATAGAAATCCGACATGATTATTCTCAGAATTAAATCGCGCTTTATGAAGTCTCTATGACTCACAGACTGTGAGTCAAAATATGGTGGCGCAGTGGTGGCAATTTAATCATCACCTCCAGCGCAGCGGTAGGGAGCCGTCCGCTTTGTATCAATCACTCCCAGGAGAGTTAACTTCTGAAGTTTCTGAAATTCGGCCTGCACATTCGCTTGTTAAATCCTAAGGCACGAGACGAATGATGCGCAGGTGGCGATTGGCCTGGCAAATGCCGTGTAGATTCTGCTCCAATTCAACACATAGATTCTGCTATATAAGGTCAGATATTGCTCTTTCAAATTTAGTCCGTATGACGGTCGGCGTAACCCCGAACAGTCACCTCAAAACCCTTGAGCGCAGGTACAAATTCATCCACTACAATGAGGGGGGAAACAATACCGCCTGCGGGCACCCTTTTGCAACGGAAATAAAGTATGTAACATCAGCTA